CACCAACATTAGAGGTGGCTAAATCAACAATCAAGTACAAAAAACGGCATAGTGTTGTTAAATATTAGTTTTAAAATCAGGCCTGAAACATACATTTTTGATACCTTATTAAAAAAAACAAAGAAACATGTGGACTTATGATCATATCTTTTTCCTTTTTGCTTATTTAGGTGGACGTACAACGGCTTGCAAAAGTATTCGGCCCCCTTGAACTTTTCCACATTTTGTCACATTACAGCCACAAACATGAATCAATTTTATTGGAATTCCACGTGAAAGACCAACACAAAGTGGTGTACACGTGAGAAGTGGAATGAAAATCATTCATGATTCCAAACATTTTTTACAAATAAATAACTGCAAAGTGGGGTGTGCGTAATTATTCAGCCCCCTGAGTCAATACTTTGTAGAACCACCTTTTGCTGCAATTACAGCTGCCAGTCTTTTAGGGTCTGTCTCTACCAGCTTTGCACATCTACAGACTGAAATCTTTGCCCATTCTTCTTTGCAAAACAGCTCCAGCTCAGTCAGATTAGATGGACAGCGTTTGTGAACAGCAGTTTTCAGATCTGAATATTTTTTCAGATCTGAATACACTAAAAACTAAAAAGTCAAAAATAAATACATTGAACAAAAACGAATAAATGTAAATCTGATGATGCATTAGTTAAGTAAATTATGAAGGATGTTGGCGTTTAGTTCAGGCAGGAGAAGAGAATCAGACGAAAAATGTGGTGGAAGGAGACACTATAAAGACAGAAAAAGAACTTCTGCATGACTAACCAAATTAATCATTTGACTAATTAATCAAATTAATCATTTCATTAATCATGGTGCCAACAGGAGTCACTGCAGTCAAAGAACAGTCTCATACTGGCTGTTTTAGAGACGAAGAAAGAACCTTTGGGGAAAATTAATGGGCTACTCACTTGGTGCTCTTATAGGGGTTGGCACAGTATTAAACGACTTGTGAAAATGAGGGGCTAGGGATATCAAACTCGAGCCCACACGCGGTTTATGTTGGGAAAATAAAAGCGGGGAGTGGTATTATCTTGTTTGAAATGAAGAGCAGCTGTGCATGGAAAGGAAACCAGTAAAAACAATTGAAGGAAAAAACCTTTGTACAGCTTTTGACACATAGGAGGACGTGCCACTGATTTTTATTCATTCCATGGAGATTTACGCTAATCTTAAGCATGCCAGCTCCATGATCATCCACCACAAAAGAAAAACAAATCTCACAATGTGATTGTGTGGACTGATTTGTTTGCTTACACACACACAACACGAGTAACACAAGCAGACACACACTTAACACCGTGGAAGCTCAGCAGCACTTGTGAAGCGGACCTCAAACGCTATCTCAGATCCTGACACGAGGCTTTCGGTTTCCCCCTCCCCCCAAAAAACACGTCTGTCCCTCGAAGAATCATGTTAGAAGCTTTCTCCCTCGCAGTCTTAAACGGAGCCTCCACTCAAACCTAAATCCCTGGAGTGAGAGTGAAAATAAGAACGAGAAAGTAAGAGAGCAAAGAGACACAGAGAGGAGAGAGAAGTGCGCGACAGAGAGACAGACAGAGAGAATGAGATGGGATTACAGGGATAATGCGAGCAGATGGAGGGAGGTCGTGGCTCCAGCAGGACTCTCCACTCCAAACGGATTAAAAGACTTCAGCCGAGCCACCAACAACCGAACTGATGATGCGTTCCTCACGCTTGAGACTCTGAGGTGATCCAGCCTCGTCCCCAACTGCTAAACCCAGAGATGATAACTTGCCGTGTAGCGCGTAGCAGTAAACATGGTTATGTATTTCAAGGCCCCTCCATTCTTCCTCTTCAGTCAAACTTATAAAAGCTTTTAGCCTTTTTTAAGCCCCATCCATTTAGGCAACATCTGTGCTTATCCTCTCACTAAAAATTTGCTTTAACTTACAATCTGTTAGACAAAATCAAATTCAAATATAGTTGCACCCAACGGACATCCAGGAATCAATTACCCAAACTAACAGAGGAGGATCTGGTCACATAAAATCAACATTAGACGTCCTTTAGCTTTCAAATACACTAAGCCATTTTGCACTTTTTCTGGCTGCTTCACAGAAGACGGCTTCATCTCAACACAAGTGTTTCCATGCAATAAACTTTTGATTTCATAAAAATACAGGGGACGCTTCTGTCCCCACCTCTCATACATAGTTTTACATCTTTTAAATAAAAAAGAAAAATAAAACATTCTCCCTCCACCAATTCATTCTTGACAAGAGTTGTTTGAGGTTTTTTTTTTTTGCAAAGCGTGTCCTATATGTGTCTGTTTGATGCCTGCTAATTTGTGAAAATAATAATAACGTCTTCTAGTTGCCTATCAGGAAAGATGGAACTGGTTTAACTTTTGACAGCTTGTAGGGGAGGAAACATCAGCTACTAACTAATTTCATCAGACAGTTAAAGTGATTATTTCTTTAATTTAAAAAGTTATATACAATGCACTAAAGGTTAATGTCAAGACTCCTATCTATCTATCTATCTGAAACCTAAGTTTTACTACATGGCATTACATTTACTTTTTTGTTGAACTGAATACCAAATGTGTGAGGATTGCTCAAAATGTTAGAGATGCTCCGAAAATATTCAACTTGAACTTTTACTCTTAAAGACTCACTTGTCATATTTTTCCCATATCAGTTGTCTCATGCTGATTAGCATTTATCACTTTTTTGGGAAAATAGTTTTTTGCTTTATTTGAGGGGAAATTTATTGGTGAAATCATTTTTAAATGCCTTAAATAGTTTTGTTTTTGTAAAGTCTTGGGATTTAATTCATGTCAAGGACCAGTGGAGACCCCTGGTGGTTAAGCTAAATTTCCTGCCACTGTACTGTTAAACTCTTTAATTATTAGTTATTGAGGTGTAGCTATTGTTGCATGAAGACATTTGATAACACAACTCTGTGAAGTTTGTAGTGTATTGCTTCTGCAATTTCTAAATGCTCCCTGTGTATGCATGAACATACACCAGCTGGAGGGACTAGCACTGATAAAATATTGTACAGTGAAGGTTTTGGTTCCATGGACATAAATATTGCTACCTCTTGCCCAAACCCTCTCCTCATGCCTCACCAATGGCACTGACCAACAGCAAAAGCCTCCCCCACAGGAGAACTTGGCCCATGTAACTAAAAAAAACTGCTCAAGACCAGCTAAAGGAAGCCAACAATATCTCAAAGTGTTTCCTCAGTCAGATCGAGGAAGGGTGAGATTCACTGGAACTAACTCAATCAGTACCTCACCCTTCAACTGATGGAACCCAAAGGATCAGATGCCAAATTTCCAGTGCCAGACACCACAGGACACCTCCAGCAAACCCATGTTACTGTCACAGGCTCAGAGGTGGTTTGGCAGCATGAAGAAGACCTGTAGTATTAGTATTAGGTAAGTATTGTCAATATTGTGGAGTGTTGGATTAAATCCTGCTTGTTATTTTAATCTTTTGTTTTTAATCAACATTTGGTTGACTTAATCTGGATGAAAAGAAGCTTGTTCTGTGTTTTAACAATGAATTTGTGACTATTTTTCCAAGTAGCAGCTGCGCTTCATGCCTGCAGAGAAAGGCTGAGGTATACACACGACTCATGTGTATGGATATGCATTCATTAGACAATGCAATTAAAACATGAAGATGATTGTTTGTAATGCACACATGACAGCATTATGCATGCGTGATACACACACATACACACACACACACACACACATGCACATATATACATATATAGCTGTAAAGCTGTAAATTAGCACTAAAATACTAGATTGACAGATACCAGAGTTTCTGTTTTGATGTTTTCAAAAGGAAATTGTACTGATAGCATATGCCAGCATTGTGGATCGTTACTGGCAGCGTAAATTAGCGCTGTGTGCTAGGAGCAGGCTCAGCTTATTTTCTGCATCAGGATAGCTCACATTACCAACACCAACAGGTCACATTGATTGGGTCTCTTCTCCAGTCAAATGCTGTTAACTGGTCTTAATGGAACAAATGTGTGTCCAGTAAATGTATGAAGGCAGACAGAAAGATAAATACACACAGATAGATGTGCAAACTCAATATCAGACTTTTTAAATATAATATATGATAATATTTTCCACTCTGAAGTCTGGTCCACAGCACTGAGCGTAATATTCAGTTCTGTGTTTCATCCTTTTGCATATGAATTTATTAATGTGAATCTGGCTGCTTGTTAACTTTCAGTCTATCTGCTCTTTTCTGGCCGCAGGTGATAATTAACCTGTTGGTACGATGGCCGTTACGCGACTTGCTTCTCCCCTGACATCCCAGCATATGTCGCTGCTGGCACGCGACACATTCATGGAGCCCTTGATTTATCTTAGCACGTGAATCATCATCAGCACTGATGAATGTCACCCACTTTAACCTCGATTGTAAACACATGACACTTTGACATTGCTTACAGCCAGACTCCCCAGAGCAAGCTAGAACTTTTCTCATTTCACCATTCGACCTTAGCATTTCCAGGTGGCCTCACATCCTTTCACTGTTTCTGAACACTGAGGTTGCAAGGTTAAGTATTTGCTACAACAAAGGAACAAAAAATCTGTCCGAGCGGATAGACTACTCTACAGTAGAGTAATTTTCCAAATATCTAAAATCAAATAACGAAAATCATCTTAAATCGAGCAGTTTCCATCGCAGTTTACTTTTCCTTCCTTGAATGCAAGCTCTGGGCAAATGCACACTATCTTCGTGCGTATTTACGCATGCAATACGAAGTGACAAATCACACCAAGTTACATTGCGAAAAGAAACACAAGATAGAAGAGTAAGAGTCAGTCCAAATTAGGATTTTGGCACTGCTTGTAGCAAAAGGAACGCACACAAACCGTCCTGTCCAATTGCAGCCTCACTCTCTCTCTCTCCTCCTCTCGCTGCCACACATCCACAGACCGGGCTGCTCACTCACACACGTGCACATCGCCTTTTGCTCACCTCTTTTATCCTGCACTCTGACGGTGATCTCCACTAGAGGCTCAGTCTCTCGGTCCAGTTTCCGGGTTATGATTATGTCCCCGGTGTCCCGACTTACGCTGACCGGTGAGCTCTCCACGTCGGGCTCAACCAGCTCAAACGTGGCCGATTGAAACCTCACCGGGTTCAGGTTCATCACCACTGAACCGATCCCTGCATCCTCGGACACGTTGATTAAAACTGGGCTATCTGATTCCAGTACTGACCTGGACTTTCTCGCTGGTACTTTCTCTTGCGATTTCGGTTTCCCTTTTCCCGGTTGGGGATTTAGTGAGGGCGCCACGGGCCACTGCCGTGGATTTATTTCCACTGTTATGCCCTGGCTTGTGCGAGGTGGCCACCCCCGGTCCCGGGCAAACACTTCAAATTTAATAGGTTCATCCAGGCCGAGGATGGAGTCGACAAGGAGGATGTCGCCAGTTTTGGGCACCACGTAGAAACTCCCGTTTCTGGGCAGAGCAAAGTAGATGAGCTCGGCGTTCTTGCCGCTGTCATCGTCCCGCGCGGTGACCGTGTAGATCGCCATGCGGAGCGCAGTGGCATCATCGAGGCTCAGTTTCACATCGTCTCCGGGGAAAGTGGGCTGGTGGTCGTTAGTGTCCAAAACGTCCACCTTGATGGACGCCACCTCAGCCACTAGTGGAGACATGTCTTCCTCTTCCCGGGAGAGTCCCGCGCATTGACCACAACACAAACCGAGACCTAGCGCATATTCGGCACGCTCCTCTCTGTCCAGAACCCTGGAAGTCTTCAGTAGAATATGTCCCCGTTTGTGGTGCGCAAAGACACGGAAATTCTCGCTGCCCTCTCCCAGGAGTTTGAGATGCGCTGCCGCCGAGCTGGGTTCCCCGGCACCGCACAGCCTTTGCGAGTTGAGTCGCTTTAATGGGACGCTCAGTCCGTTGACCCGGCAGCCCGGGGACGAGTTCTCAAATACATGGCCGTGAAAAAACGGCACCTGCTCCACGGTCCTGTTCCCGAATGCGCACGAAATAAAAAATGGTAAAACCACGACCCAAATCATGACTGGATATCTCTTTGGCTCCACGACACTAACGCGCCTCACATAAATCCATGTGTGCGTCTCTTCAACTTTCATGAAATTGTAGCGCACATATTTGTTGGCACCATATTTGAACTCGATGTGGGAGAACTTTGTCTCTACGCGTCTGCGCTGTGCGTCCTTCTTCTCTCCTGCCCTCCTCGGTCTGCAGTCTCACCAGCAGCGCTGTCTGTCTGTGCGCGTTCCAGGGAAAAAAACGCTTACAGCTCGAGTACGCGCTTACCTCTGCACGCTTTCTCACTTCGTCTTGCGTGCGCTGATCCTCAGCGATCTCGTATGAGCATCACACCTAATCCTCCACTTGCTGCAAACTGCACACAGCCGCACAGAGACCTGCTTTCCAAGTGGAGCTCACTTATTAGAGGGAGGAAAATCAATTTCCTTTGCATCAGATCTGCAGATGAGAGTTTGGTCACCAGGAGGATATAACACAGAACCGGCTGTTTTACGCATGCAGTGCCAAAGCTACCAGGTAAATTCATTTGTTACAATGATATGCGGCGGCAACAGATTTCTTATAGGAAATGAACTTCTCGGTAAAGCTGCACCGCATCGAATTAATGCGTGCTCGCGCTCACGCGCATAAACACTCTACACCAGCCAGCAAATATGTGCGTGTCAGGGGGATCCTCGGGGAAACGACCCGACCTCCCTTCTCCCAGTGATCAATGCCCAGTCTTGCACATCCATATCCATCACTCCTCTTTCCAATAACACGTCAGTCCACTGGATTAAAATAATGTAAAAATCGATCATTTTAAAACGTCTCCAGAGGGGCAAACAGAAAAGAAAAGCTTACAGCTTCTGGAAAGGACTCAGAAAGACTCAAGAGCTGTCTTTGTGTCACAGTAAAGTGGCCCGTTTGAGCGTGTTAATCTCACACTGTGTTTTTGTTTAGTCCCTAGGGGTCTGTGAATGTTGTGGGCAAGTTTCCAGCGAAATGAGAACAGTTCACTTTAATATAACATCGACAAAATATTAGATTCACTTTATATTTACCAGGTTTCACTGATATTGTCTCTTGGTCACATATCATTCACTACTATACTGACAGCACTCATGTAGATTCCTGATAATAAATTTGAGCTGTTTATGGATCCAGGGCACGGTCATTATCTCATCCAGAGTGCCTGTCTTCTGTGTGCTTTTGTGCTGTTTGAACTCCCACTCACTAAAACACTGCAACCTGTGCAGTTTTAAAAGTTTCACATCAGCAGTCCTTGGATAACACAAGTTTAAGGCTTTACACAAAAAAAACTGTGTTCATAAATTCAATCAGGCTGGTGTTTAGCATAAAATCTAACATTAACGTGAAGGTGAATTCACTTTCCAGTATAACTAGAATTAAATAAAACCCTTGTTAATGTTAAAGGATATACACCCAATCTATTCATAACTGACCACAGACAACAATGAGGACTTTAACCTAAATGTAATCATCACACCGAGTCTAAATAACACCCCAGGAATTAGCAAATAACTGTGATGAGTGTAAAAAAAATGTACCGCTTGTATCCTTGTCTGCATTAATTGTTTTCTCCTAATGAAACACACAACTACAAACAACTCAAGCCCCTCAAATGAATCTATGTTGATGCAAAAAATACATAAATTAAAAAAAATAATAATCATATTTTCATTTACAGATTATTATACATAAGTATGCAATATGGTCCCTCCTTCACCAATCAGCTCCAGCCACACTCGCGCATCCACCAAGTTTTCCTGGTGAATGAAGTGAGACATGCTGAATTTCATTAAAGCGGGAGAGGAAACGCCAGAGTACAAAAATAGAAGTTGTTGTCTGTGTGGGTCAGAGCAGAGAAAAAGTCGTGAAAAAACAAAATAAAACTAAATCCCACAGTGCCTGGACACATTGGACAGCTCCTTTGTGAAAACTAAAATAAAATTTTATTGCACTTAAAGTAATGTAATGAGTTGTAATCGGTTCAAGCATCATCATCACCTGTCTCTTCTTCACTTTATCTCCGTGGGGAGCAGAGGAGGTGCACACAAATGGTGAAACAGCCCCCAGTAGAGACTTCCACACTGAGCTGAACTCACAGTGCACAGATCACATTTAAACATTAAAGCATTTCTGTATTTTATTAATTTTAGTCATTGCTCTTATGTTATGAAATGAACCCTGAATCTTGAATTGTGTTAGAGTAGTCATATTTTATTCTATTTCACTTTATAGTTTGTGTTTTACACTATGTTGCTTTTATTTCTGTATTGCTCTGTTTCATTACAGCTTGTCAGTTTGCGAATCAGTTTTAACCATGCTAATAAACGAGAGTGTAAGGCAGTGTGTCTGAAATGTGGTCGGGGTATAGATGGATGTTTTCAAGAACATATATAACCGCATACAGAAATGCTGGAATAAAAAAAACAAAAAACAAACAGACTTGTTTTTCGTTGCAGAGAGGTCATTTTGACCTCGACATTCTGATTTTCCATCTCCACCAATTCATTCCTTTAACTGCATATCCAGTGGAGGCTGGAGCCTACCCCAGGTACCATTACATGAGAGGCACAGTAAACACGCTGCCAGTATTAGCTTCTTTCTGAGTAACCATTATATTACTCAGGTAGACTTGTTGAATTCAGATTGCTTATTGGGCCATTACTTAACCACAGTTCATTGATAAAGCAGTTTCATTATGTTTTTTTTTATGTATTATTCTGGCCTGGTTAAATCCTGTATGTTATTTTAATAATGTGCAAGAGCTTTAGCCCATATTGAATTATATTTGCTCTGTATTAGGTTGTTTAAGATGGATTCCTCCTTTGTCATATTGACAATTTAACATATATTAATACACAAAATAAGGGCTTATATACTCATGCAATAATACGATTGTAACATGAGGCGTTTTCTCAGAAACAAACAGAGAGAGAGAGAGACAGAGAGAGAAGAGCTGCAGACAGAGATAGATTTGGTCAGATGTTAAGCCTGACTATGGAGTAATATTCCCCACTGTGGCAGTGACAATGGCCCAGTGAGCACCAGACTGAATCATCTCTTCCTCTCATCTCTTTGTGTCTATGTGCATCAATTGGATTTGAAATAAAACTCAGTATGTATAAAGCATCCAGTGTAACTGTTTGCTTATTCATATTGCAATACTGAGCCTGTCAGTATTACAGACAGCTTTTCAGCAGATGATGTCTCTGGAAAAGTCACATATTCCAGTGAGGAAGCCAATGGGCATTTGAAGAGACGAGCACTGAAATTATCTGACAAACAACACGTTTACAAACTTGTTATTAAACTGGGATTTTTGAAGCATTCGCTGCACTTGAAATGCTGTGATTGTGGAAGCGCTTTACTTCAGGACAGTTAAGAAGAAGGTTTGCCAGGCAGAGCAATACTCAGACTAGTCATAACATTTCAAAAAAAGATTCACAGCACCCTTTAGAAATAATTTTCAACAAAAGGATATCATGTCATCCTCAGTTAATTGTCTTCAGTGTTATCACGGTGACAACAACCGACCGATCTTGAGACCTTAAAAATGTCTTACTTGAAATGCTTCATACAAGATTTCGATTTAAAAGAAATTTGATCATATTTGTTAATGTTTTAAACAGTGCTTATTTATCAGTTTCTCACATGTTAACAAATCTGTAAAAAAGCACAAACTAAAACAATGTTAGTGCACATGTTACGTCGCCCTGACACTTTATAAAAACACACAGTTTCAAGTTGATTCTTTCTTACCAAAAACAGAAATGTTTAAAACAGTTCAAATACATACAAAGCTTTATTATTTTTTAAGCAGTCAAAAATTAATGATCATTTTCAAAAGTGAAATAATACAAACACCTTATTGTTACCATGCTTGTTTTCATGCTAATGATGGAACATGTTGATTGCTACAATGATTCCTTTAACTGGAAGTAACTGCTAGAACAAATATAGTTTTTGTTATGGTATCTACAAAATGTAGGACGGTGAAGCTCTCACGACAACCAGGATCATGAGATCTGTTTGTATTTGTGTGGTATCAGATTAGAAAACACTCACCATAGATTCACAAGTCATATTTTTGTAATCAGACAGAAAACTTGAAGCTTGTCATGAAAGTCACTGACTGTAGAAGAGGTAACAGTAAAGTAAGAGTAGATGTAAGAGTCAGCATTTATTTGAACAAATCCAGATTTCATTCCTGTGTTTTTTCCCTATTTTAACTCACAGATCCAGGTATATTCATTAGGTGTTAGTGAATTAATTGTGGTAATACAATTACACAAAACACAATACACACTTTTGATTTTGTCGCTATCTCAGAACCTAAGTAAAGGATTTAACATGTTCATTGTGAATTTCCAGTATTTAAAGAGGATAGGTCACAATGACGGAATGTAGTATACCAAAATATAAG